ATATATATATATATATATATATATATGTAAATGTATATAATATACATATATATATATATATACGTGAATGTATATATGTATGTAAATGTATATATAATATATATATATACATATATATATATATATATATATGTATATATATATATATATATTTATATATTTGTATATGTAAATATATATGTATATATATATTAGCGAGACAAAAACATTCTATCTTTACTAGAGACAAAGAGATAAAATATATAAATATATATATATTATATATAAATATATAAATATATAAATATATATATACTTATATATACATATTTATATATTTATATATTATTAATAAAGAGACAAATGAAGAGAGTGTGCGCCCCTGAGGAGACAGCTTCAATCTTCGCTAGGAGACAGAGACAGATTCTGTTTGCTGCAGCAGATGCTGCTGCAGCAACTGCTACTACTGCTGCTGCTGCTGTTTCTGCTGTCGCTGCTACTACTGCTACAGCATCTGCTACTGCAGCAACTGCTACTGCTGCTGATGCCGGTGCTGCTGCTGCTGCTGCTGCTGCTGCCGGTGCTGCTGGTGCTACTGTTGCCGGTGCTGCTGTTGCTGCTGCTGCAGCAGCAGCAGCAGCTGCTGCTGCTGCCTTAAGTTTTTAAATTCGCATTATTAGAAATGGACTTACAAAGACAACAGAAAATAAATAAACATGTCCCTACTAAACAGAATGCTGCCAGCAAACGCTCTACTGCAGCAGCAGCAGCAGCAGCTGCTGCTGCTGCTGCTGTTGCTGCTGCTGTTGCCGCTGCGGTTGCTGCAGCAGCTGCTGCTCTAGCTACTGCTCCAGCTGCTGCAGCTGCTGCAGCAGCAGCTGCTGCTGTAGCTTCTGCTAGTGCTACAGCTGTTGTTGTTGTTGTTGCTGCTGCTGCTGCTGCTGCTGCGTGTAACGAATATATTGTTGCGGCAGCAGCAGCACATCCACCTTATATCCCCTAACAATGCAATCAACCAGCAGCAAATATTTATCTTTTTGCTTCTTCTTTTGTGTCTTTAGCATAACGACAGCACCCTGGCCTTGATGCATAAATACAAAAGAAGTTTTATTTTTACTGCAACGCAAGCCCCACGTCGATTCTGCTGCTGCTGCTGCTGCTGCTGCTGCTGCTGCTGCACGGCTGTTGCTGCTGACAGAGTCAAGGGGCTCGCAGTTGCTGTCCAGAAGCAAAGGGGGAGGAAAGCCTGAGATTGCTGCTGTTGTTCCTGCTGCT